ATATATTTTTACTATACACGTCTATCGATATTCGCACAGAGGTTCTTAAAATTAAAATAGAACTTATCGAAATAGAACTTATCTTCTACGCGAAGTCAATGCTTCGTCAAATACGTAACGTAAATAAAGACATATAACGTAAATAAAGAATATAAAGAAAAAAACTTTAATCTTTATTTATCATTCTCTTCTGTATCATTTTTATGTACTTATCTACGCTACGTGTAATAGCGGATCATTTAGCAATTATGTACAACGTAAAAATATTCCTTGGCAAACGTGACTGCAATTTTGTAATACACGAGAAGAGGCAGAATTTTTGTTCTAACGACAAATAATATTCTATACACGTTACATTTCATTGTTAAAATGCATATTACGACCCAAATATTTCAGCATACGAGACAATTGGATAACATTTTCAATGCGATACGAGATACTGCATAAAAAGAAATTTCACATTTTCCATTTTCCCTGCAGAAATTATAAAAATAATGAATCCAACGAAAATATGGCCGACTGGAACGAATGAACTTTTTTTTTAAACGCGTTTAATGATGAACCAATTTCAGATTTTAATGAACTCCAAGTGCCTCTGCGTAACAATAAAAGCCTTCCCTCGCCCTTTAATTAACCGTATCGGGTTTGCAACAATGGAACGAAATCATTGGACGTAATGATCTCTACGTTTCCCAATTATACGAATTACAATGCATCGGGGAAGACATTGTCCCTTAACGAACGCGAATAATTTTTATCTTTACCGTTTTTTTTAATCGATTGTTCAACTAATGATTACTCGAGCATTTTCAATCCAATAAAACGGACTATTAAACATCAGTTTATCAGTGAAATTTTGTTATCCGAAATTTTATTCGAGAAAATGATTCAAACGTTAAACTCTGTATAAAATATGGATGATCTTGTATTAATTAGAACTCGAAACTGTTATTACATTCCCTCCTCCCTCCCTCTTCTGTTAAATTAGCGAAATAGCGCAATCAACAGCTATTCAAACGAAATGGCAAATTCGTAATTACATCGCTATACACCGAAAACAGTTCCGCCCAATTTTCAAAACTTTTCGTATAATGTTAAATTAAATTATTTTGAAAATGCTTTATAAAATTTTGATTTGAATTGATTCGATTTTTCGAACAACTTTCCATATAATTCTTTAATTCCTGTGCATAATTTTGTACCTTTCACCCGATTAAAGCCGATACATTATTCATTACATCATTACATCGATCGATTAAAACGTTCATCATTAATCAACATTCGATTCAGGATCAAATCGATCAAATCTACTTCAATTTACCTGGCATCAATCACAGCCCAATAAAAACTCCAATCCTTTCCATTCCGTAGTCCGCCACCATTATCCGGCACAATTTGCTCGAATTGTCCCTAATTGCTCGAAAATTTTAATAATTTCATCGTTGCATCGCTCGAACTACGAATCAAGTTATATCGTACTCGTCACGGTCGTTCTCATTTACTTGTATTTGGGTCATATAGCTACGCTCGTTTCGCGGCGAATTCCGTCTCTCCTTCGTTCGGATCGCGCAACAGGAATATCAAGAAGGGCCTCCCCACGTGCATGGCAATGCACGGCACAATTTCGTGCATCGTCCGCACGGGACCGTGTCGACGCGATGCACGAAACTCGAACAACAACAGGTGTGCAATACGCGTCGATATCCACGGCCACGTTCGCCAAGGAAACTGGGTTAGAAAAATCCATCCTCGAGACTCGGCGGTGATCGGATATACATCGAACGAGAGGCGAGGCGGTGAACTTGAAAGCGAGAAACGATACCGACACGCCGATTCGAGGCTGCGGCGAGACTTTTCGAATGCTAATTGGCCGACATTGATATTCACGGTGGGAGGATTTCGAATCGGTGGATTGTGGTGGGAAATCGTGTTGCTTCGTGGGGGATGCGCGATGAATAATGTAAATTTTCAAATTTGCAATTGTTTCGAAGCGAGTGTTATTGATTGGTTTGTTTCTCTTTTCTCGAGAGTTGAAGTTTTGGATGGGGATACAGAGAATTTAATATTAACGAATTCATTGATGTTAAAATAATTTTTTTTTTTTTTTGAAGTATTATAACGTTGATATTGATCGAGAAAGATGAGAGAGTTTAATTTTAAAATTTAAATTATTTTCGCAATTGAAAGAGCTATAGATAATTCGAATTATAGATAATTTTGCAAATGATTTTTCGAATGATTATCTATTATAGCGAAACGATTTGTAGTCGATAACAAATTAATATCAACGATACAAGACCAATGAATTCTGTGATCAACTGGGAGGAGGAAGACAAGCGTGGAAAAATGATGGAAGGAAAACGACGATTATTAATTGCGAATTTCCAATCTTGTTCCATGCAAGACCAATCGAAAACAATGACCATTAAAAAATTCATTGTACGCTCGAATCAGCGTGACGGTACTATAATTGAAGTAATTGGAGCGACGCGATGTTGATTCGCATCAACGAACGTTTGACCATCCGTAACTCTGACAGATCGACGACTATTTCTCTATATTTATCTTTTTTTTATTTTTTCGAATTTGCCGCCGCGACGCTGTCTCGAAGATCGCCGATTCGATGTCCTGGAGTCTCGATTATGTATCGAAACGTGAGTATCACGTCTTGACCGTGGGACGAACGACAACCCACGTTGCCTCGTATGATTTATAGACAATAAAAAATACGAATCCCCTCGTCCGTGTATCATAAACGCTTCAATAATGATCGGTCGCGTAGGTAGAAAACTATTCAGTTTCAAATTTTATTCGCGATGGTACGAAAGATTCAAATTTCCCGATGAAAAATATATTTCTGGATGTATTCTATTGCAATTTCAATATTGATTTTTCATTTTTTCAAATTGTTCTATTGAGTATATATATCGTTATATAAAACTTTTCGGGAATAATTATTTTTAGGAATAAAAGATACCAAAAAATTGAATTTTTGTCTGAATGAAATATTTTTAACAGATATTAATTAATTATAATTTATTCATATAGAATTTTGGTTCAATTTATAATTTTCAAAATTGTTAACTGAACTGCGATTTATAATGTTAAAAAAATTGTAACATACGATACAAGTGATTTTAAATCGTTTAAAATATCTTTCTAATGGATTTATGATTTTATTGGAATTGAAAATTTTTGCACGTAAAAAGAAAATAAAAGTAAAAATCGTATCGTGCATAAATAACATAAATCATTTTAATCGAATTAAAATTAGAATTCTTACGCGTATTCGTACAAACGATATAAATTCAAAAGAAGAATTTATAAAACAAATAATTTCAAAGAGATTCATTTTGTTATTTTATTTTCATTGAAATTTTATTCAAGCAATTCAGTTGATGAGCTTAAACAAATACTCGTTAAATGCCACGAATTATTATTTGCAAATTTGGAAGATCAAGAACCATTAGAATTTTAAAATGTTCTAATTACAATTGCGCGCGCTTATTTAACTAAATATGGCCGCCGCAGCTCACCAACAATAAATATAATTAAACGTATTGAAGATTCGATTGATAATAGAATACCGACTGAAAATCGACTGATTTTATCGAATCGAAATGATTTATTTATGAATTCGTATCAATATTTAAATTTAGAGCATGGCAAAATTCAGATTGCATATTTGACAACGAAAATTGTCAATATATGTATGTGTGCGTGTGTTATTTCACTCAAAATATAATTTGTCACTCGTCCCACGGTCGCGATGTATTTTATACAATACAAGTCCAATGTTTATACATGTGTCCACGCAAATTGCGATTTAACCAAGACAAGAAAGGAACACCTGTTCTTTTATCTAACTTTCAACAATATTTATCGGAAGATTCAGCTATAGCAAAATATGTTTATGTTTTTTACATCTCGACGCGATATATTAAACGAAACGGAAATACTTGTCTACGTTTCTAACTACCTCGTTCGTAGCTACGCAAGAAACGTTGGACGTGTCTTGTAATTACATGCAAACGAATAAAATATCATTGACTCACTTGACGTTTCCTCCTGTTCCGGAATCGTAGAAGCAACGCCACGCTTCGTGGTAATCCAATGGACACTCAAAATACACAATAATAACTAATGTTTCACGAAACAATAACACGACTTTTCACAAAGCACAAGAAAAAGTAACGTTATGCACTCGATACGTTTATCGACGCAGCTACGAATTTGAAAACGCGGGAATGGCGTTGAATTTAGAAATCAAACTACGTTTTTAAAATTGTAAATGAATCGGCGTTTCGATGTAAAAACCGCGAAGAGACGCGGTAACGCGTCTTCCAAAATGCCCCTCGGCGATGACATTAATGTTTATTTACACCGTTCACTCACTCACGGCTTCGAATAAACGAGAGAAACCACCAAACCGAAACACGACACATACGATCTACTCCATAAGAGCGCTCGCGGCAGACTGACAAGTGACAATAAGCCGGCGCAGCCCCACGCGCCACGCTATCCCTACTCAAGCGCGTATACAATTCACGCATGTCTATTATATACCTGCCGTACATTCCTTCCTCTCGTGTCTTCAATTATTCGAGAATCTCAAGAATCGAGTACTTCATTTTTTAATAGTTTTCACTTTCCGAAATAATTCTGTAACACGATTGTCACCCGCCATACTGCTACGAACTAGACATTTGCGCCATCAGACGACAAGTTGTGGTAACTATACAACGGTTACTCGAAAGAATATCGAATAAATATATCGAAGTTAAAAAATAATATTTATATTATTTTTTATTTTGCTATTATGTTAATCTTTTGTAATTAATAAAGAGAAATTTTATTTTGATTTTTAAATATTTTTATTATGTAATTTTATGAGATTCCGATATTTCTAGTAATAAAATATATCGATAACTTGCAATTCATTTATCGATAAATATCGATGTTTTAATATGGCGTGAGTAGTAGAATGTCTTCGTCGAATATGCAAGCATTTATTTTTTAATCAATATGATAAATTTGTGAAACATAAAGAAGTGATAAAGTGATTTAAAGATGTGTTTAAATTTCAAAAGTGTAATCATTCGTAATATATATTATATGTTCTATTTTCATATATGAAAATTATTTTATGTAAATTTATTCTACGTATTTTACGTCGCAATAAGAACAACTATTATCTTGTCAAGGATAAACGTATAGTAAGTATACTAGAAATAGTGAAAATGAATTTATCAATTTAGAATTGTCAAGGTAGAGTAAGTTTAGTAAAAAATTCAAATATATGCGCATAATAGATCATAGAATAGATAATAAATATGTAACTTTGGTATCTTCGCTTATATATATATATATACAAGTATACAAGTATATATTTTGTATCAAATTTTTTTACATGCAATAGGATACAAGTACAAATGAAAAATAATTATGCACTTTCTATAATAATGAATATATTATGTTATTTATATTCAATTTTCAAAAGTAACGATAAAATCAAATACTTCTATATACGTAACAGATAATAGTACATGATATTGTTGCATCCCATGATACTAACCTGCATTATAACTGAAATATAAGATTATTCTCTTCTTTAACTGCAGAAGTGCATTTCAGTGGTCGGTATAGAAGTTTTCTGTTAAAGCAACGACCGTTGGGACAGAATCGATTTCACCCTTTCTCTGAAGATGGCAACAACTCCCACAATCCTATGAATATTAAAACTGTGACCAACTTCAATCGATTAACGAGCAAACTTCGTCTAATTGTTGGAACGCTAATTAAAATCAAGAAGTTGGAACTAAATTAGGTATGTGCCTTCAAATTTGAGAGAATTTCGTATGCATATTCTTAACAAATGAGAGAAAATTAGAATATTAGTATTAGAATATTGAAATTAGTATTTAATTATTAAGAATGGCGATATCGAAACGATATAATAGTATCGAAAAGAACATCAGGTAAATGAAATTTTCAAAACGTCATTTTAACATCTTGAAGTTGTATATTTTAAAATATAAAAAAATCATTTTAATATGTAATATCTAACAATAAGAATTGCATGTATCGTATCAAAATAAAAATATTTGTAGAAATTCTAACTTTCATATACATAATATCTAAAGAATATTCGAAATAATCGTGTTTATCTTAATTTGTTCCTCTGTGAAATTCATTTTAGATAGAGTTTCATAGTATTCGTACTAGTTAGTATTAGTTTGAAATAAATTTAGACGATACATTCTATGGGATTGCTAGTCGAGGTGATATTGTCTTAGTAAGTCTTTCGATGGCAAGCAACACACCGGGGAGTGCACTTTCTACGAAATTCGATACGAAGAGCAAACTCGATTTAAGCTTTGGTCTCTTGACTCCTACGTCTTCAACTATTGCAACCAAGTGACTCGCATGTGCTCTTATTTACAGGAAAGATGGAACCGTGTGTCCCTAGCGTGTGTCGCCAACCACTATAAACTTCAGAAGGCTGCAATTACTTCACTTTGCACTTTTTCAACCAACATCGTTTAAAGTGAAACCATGCTGTGTATTCTGTCTTTTAAGGTACTGTTCTTTCAAAGTATTAATTTAAAAATTAGTGTTCATAAAGCTTTGTAGTATTATGAGGTTAAGAGAGTATTATAAGAAAAAGTTTTCTTGTTGTATCATAGTAGAAATAATTTTTCATTAAACAATGCTATATATTTATATTCAATTGCATTATATATCTAATATATAATACATATTTAACTATTATTCTACAACTGTTATTCTACTATTAAAAATATAATGAAATTTTTCATACAAAAGTTATTTTATTTGATGGGAGAAGCTTGATAGAAAATTGAAATTATTTTCATCATTTTTTTTAACAATTTCAATATAAACTTATTTAAAGAGTGAAAGTATTTATATTAATGAAGTCATATAATTCTATTATTGTTAACTTATTTTACACTTCAACGTGCGTTCAATAATATACGTGAAGTGTAAATTTGAAAAATAATTTATTAGCTTTATGAATATTAATATGGATAATATTTATTATATTATATATCATAGTGTAAAAATAATGGAATTTAAAAATATTTTTTAAAAAGAATTCAATATTTAATGTATTATTATTATTATTTATAATTAAATGCTAAATATATGATAATGAAATATTTTTAATAATTGGAAATTTAAATCATTAATAATTAAAATTCATATCGATCGTCTATTGCAATATGCGAAGTAATTTATTGTAATACCTGTTACAATATGCAACGTAATTAATCATGAAATTATTGCATACTTTATTTAATGAAATGATAATGTGCAATTTGATACATATTGTACGTATTATTTCGATAACGAAGTAGAAAATAGTAGAAAATAGAGGGGTAGCAGTTTGAATTGGTATTAGCTCGAACAATTATCATTTTCTGGCTTGTCGATACGTTGTCATACGATGCAAATAAATTAAAACCGATTCTGGGTCGAATAATTAAAACAAAGGGAAGCGAGATGCAACAAAATCTGAGTTGCGGTGAAACTTGAAGAAGAAGGCAAGTAAAAAGAAAAGGAAAAAGAAAAGAAGCTCGTAATCTCAAAATTGTTATAGAACAATGAGCAATTTAAATTAGGAAAGGATTAAGAAGTAAATGAATAAGAAAAAGAAGAAACATACCGTTAGAAAATAGAATCCCATGTGATAAAAAAGATCTGGTTCGAACGCTTTAAAAGTATGAAGGAATTTACAGAATGGGAGAAAGAGATAGAGTGACTGAAGAAAAATAGAAGTGTTTACAAGAAAAGGGGACAATGAGGGTTGCACTGGAAACAAAGAAAGCGGGGGAAAGAAGTAGAATATGGGAACAAAGAGAAGACTTGGAGAGTTGAAGAAGTGGTAGGAGCATGAAGAAGAAGTAAGAAAAGAAGGAAGAAGAAGAAGAGGACAGTGCTTATATAAAAGTTGAAAGAAAACACAGAAGCTGTCGGTGGTGGCTGAAGGAGGCGCGATGATAGCGAGGCTTGGTGGTAGTATTAAGTGCTCTTTTGCTGGGCACAGACGTCTAGGATGATGATGAAAGCGCTCCTTTATTACTTTCTTGTAGTAGGTGCGATTTGAATTTCAAGTAAACGGTTGGCCAACCTAGTCGATTTCTCGAAAACGAAAGATCGATCTTCGTTGATCAGGAAAGACTATTAATTCCAAATAAATACCTTCACTCTTATTTCTTCGTTCTCTCTGTTTCTTCGTCTATCAACTTTATTAATAAACACGAATAATAAAATGACGAACAGACTTAAGCTTTCATAATTATTAATTTACTTGAGGTATTTTCTTCTTCGTTAAATATCGAATTTTTTCTTTTTACAAACTTCATTATCGCATAGCATATCGATGCAGATTATTTCAGATTTGTTCCGTAAATTGTTTTTATAGTTAAAATTTTATAATATTATAATTACACATCTTTAGTTTAATACTATTATATTAAGGATGAAGAATAAGATTGAATGCATTGCAAGCTGGATTTGAAACATAAATTAGCATCATTGTATACTGCTGCATCATTAATGAAAAATTATTGCACTTCTACTAATGAGCCATTTCGTTTCATGCGCGTAAAAAGTTTAATTACAAATTATTTTTCCTTACCACGTACATTCATTTTCCTTGAAATTAAAACAAAGAACTCTATGAAATGTAACCCAAATGTTGGAAGCATTTAAAGTAGTTAAAATAATTCCCCAAAATTCTCTTTCAATCTTCGAGGGAAGAGATAAAGAGTGAAAGAAAGAATTTGCTATCCCTTCAATTCGAGAGAATTCCGAGTCGCGATGGTACTTGCTCACGGTATCCGGATGCAATAAGAATCAAGGTCTCCGGCTATTTACCCGAGAACTTAGACGAGTTGGAAACGCTTTCGGATGCAGCATCTCGATTTCTCGATCCAGAAACCCGTGTTGCAGCGCAAAAAACCGTTTCTCCACTCCTTTCCACCTCTTTCCCTATTTTCCTCTCTTTTCCTCTCCTCGTTCCCCTGATATCCTAAACCATCCTCGAACGATGATCCCCCTCTCCCTCCCCCTTTCCCCTTCCCTCCCCCAGTTTCTTGCCATTGCGTCGACCCGCTCTTCCAACAGAAACTGTCGATATCTTTCGGTTTCTTTCTCGTTCTCTGGCCGGTGAAAGAGCCGGAATATTGAAGTTTTCGGTCAGTGCCCGATTTTAACTATACGACCGTATCTCCGACGAGCACCGAATCCAGACTCGACTCGACTCGACTCGACTCGACTCGACTCCACGAGGAAAAAGACGCCTCAGCGTGAAAACTGGGCTGGCTGAGAGAGGAAAGAGAGTAAAACAGACAGAAGACCGGAAAGGAGACGGATAGAATCGGAGAGTTGCTGGAAAAGAGAATGGTAGAAACGAGAGAAGAGAGAGAAATAATCAGGTATAAGAATCAAAGGGGGGAGAGAAGGTGGATAGAGAGAGAGAGAGAGAAAGAGAGATTGCAAGTAAACGAAGCCCTTTTGACTTTCTGGGTCAGGAAAGTCGATTACTCGGCACCCCAGCGCCTGGGAGAAGCTCTTAACTCTTCGCCAAAGTGTAAACAAGCTTTGATGCTGGGTGTGCATAAATCTAACGGGTGTATCGTCACTTTCTTGGATTAAACTTTTCGAGTGGATGCTCGATCGGTATGGTTAATAATTGCTCTTGAATAATAATAAACAGCTGTTCGACTTTACTTCTCTCTATTGTCTTTTCTCAATTCTTTTCAATTTTTTCGAACGAATTTATGAAAAAAGTTGGTTAAATAATGGAGGGAGGGGGCAAATAGCTTTCTATTGCAACAATATAAAATAATACCATGTATGCAATGAACTACGAATACAATTCATAATTTTATTTCGACTATTGGTGAATCTTTACACGAAACAAGTTGTATTAAGCACTAAGTTATTATTTAAAAATTCACTTCGATAATTGCAGCACTAGTTCAATTATCATTGATCTATAGATTCGATCAAGTTATTACACTGTAACACAATAGCGAATCAAATCTAATGTTTTTTTATCGAGTTGGTAAAAGTCGAGTTGCCACACCCGGTAGACAGGAAAGCGACCACGTAGCGAGGAACGACCTCCCGCAGAAGGTTTTGCAACAGAAATCATAATAATTACTAATTAAGCAACAGGCGCACTTGAATCCGTAATTACTGCTCCCTTGGCACAGCTACAATTTTTAATTATTACGACCCACCCAGCGGGGAACAATCTGAGTACCTGCCTTTCCTGCGTATGGAACACTTGTGCATGTGCTTTTTTTTCCCCCCTCCCTTCCCCTCCTTTTCCAAGAGATAGTTTCAGCTTTTCATTTTCTCCGTCGTGTTGCTAATACGTGAAAAATATTTTGTTCTTGAATTTCGAGGGATCAGAATGCAGATGCGACTGTTATTATCTCTTTTTTTTTTTAATATTTTTAATTAGATTATTATTAGAAGAAGTAAAATTAGGTCGTTATGCAATAGATTGGAACGTGGAGGGAAGTTTCGAATGCCGATATCCATTGATATATAGTAAGATAATTTACAGGTTAGTTAAAGTATGCTTCTGTGGAATGTAGAGCATGGATCGGGAGAAATCTTGTTAATAAGCTTAACATGGTCCATCATTGAAACTAAAGTGTGCTTCTGAAATTGAGGTTTAGAGTCCTTCGTTTTCCCATAAATTCGACCGACTATCTCATTCTATATAGTTATTTTAGATTATTAAGCTTTCTCCATTAAATATGAATATCTCATTTAACACAATCGTAATTATCTTTCGAAGAACATCGAAATATCTTCGTTAATGTCAAAAACGTGAAAATTATTTGAAGCGCGTAATGAATAGTTTCGAGAGACTATCGTGGAAAGATAATAGTTCTTTGTATCTCTTAATAATAAGAGATATTGTTCGCATATTCTCTTTATATAGCTTAAAAGAATTTCAAAAAAATAATTAAACAGAAGGAACACAGGATAAAATGTAGGGAATCGAATACAGAAGGTATAATCGAGGTGATTAAATACAAAATTATTCGTTAATGTAATTCCGAACGGTGGAATAGATTGATAGGTCGATGAAACGTTTCCAGTGGTGATTTTTGATCATCTGTTCATCGTCGAAAATGACAAAACTTATCGTCGATATACCGTGCTGTCACAATTATATCGTGGAATCCCTTTTCTGTTTAATGAATCACACGTTATAGTAATGGGGAACGATTCAATTAATTCCGCCTAATAAATTCACGCAAGGAACGTTGTTCGTAGGGAAATGAGCGAGTTGTTGCCCTTTATTATAATATTCCAACCGTTTCCGCGTTAGAACACGCTGTTATCATTGAAGTTTCGACGTTAGTTGGTGAAGTTCGCGCGTTGCACGCGAATTCATAACGAAACATATTCATTAAAAAATTACGTGCATCATACGAGAAAAATCGTTTGTTATTCAGTTAATTGCCTCTACTTTGTGCAATGTATTTCAATTAGACTTTTTACGAGATACTTAAAACGTGAAAAACGAA